AAACCGTGACCTCCTGGTTCCTAGGTCAACGCTCAACGGCTGAGCCACGCCGGCCAGGCAAGAATTCACTCTGTTTAAATCTATTCTGCCATGGGCCTTGTTTGGGGGTTTTTTGGTGGGTTTTTTTTTGTGTGTTTTTTTTTTGCTGCTTGCTATGAACATGAAACATTGTTATCTCTCCCCCCCCCCTTTTTCCCTTTAGGAATTGTGAGGGGCAGAATATTCGCTACAAGACGTGCAGCAACCATGTAAGTTGTGTCATGAAAATACAGAATCGAGTAAAATCTATCATGTTCGCAGCTACAGTGTTGTAATGTGCACCGTGAAGCTCACAGTCTCCCCGTCCCTTTGTGGAAATTTTGAATAATTGTTTAATCGACAACAGGTTTAAACAATTCCATGATACCACCTTTCTGGGCCAATTCGCATTTCTGAGCTAATTTGGTATTTCATAATTTCTGAATTCCTAGAAATAATACCTAATGTCTATAAACACCTTCAGAGTTCAAAGGGCTTTTTTGTTTTGTTTTTTGGTTAAACAAAAAAGAATACAGACTTGAACTCGTCTGTCCTGCTCCCAATACCTGTCCCACACACTTCAAAATGAGTTAAGGAGCCCTGGCTGGTGTGGCTCAGTAGACAGAGCGTCGGCCTGCGGACTGAAGGGTCCCGGGTTCAATTCCAGTCATGGGCACAGGCCCGGGTTGCGGGCTCCATCCCCAGTGTGGGGCGTGCAGGAGGCAGCCGATCCATGATTCTCTCTCATCATGGATGTTTCTCTCTCTCCCTCTCCCTTCCTCTCTGAAACCAATAAAAATATATTTAAAAATAAAAATGAGTTAAAGAGAACGATGGGTAACTCGGAACATCACACACGTGCGGAAGGCTGACACATCTTATCCTTTTTAAAATTGAGGTGGCGTTGGTTTATAACGTTATATAAGTGTCAGGGTTACAACATTCTAATTCAGTGGTTCTCAACCTTCCTCATGCCGCGACGAGGACCAAAGGGCTTTTATATATAGGATCTAACCCAGCTCTTGAAACCACACAAGGTGTGGTTATTTCTTTTTTGTAAATCCGGGGGCTGGGACTGAGGGAGGTGAAATTATTCTCCAAAAGCCACAAAAGAAGAATACAGCCCTAGCCGGTGTGGCTCAGTGGACAGAGTGTCCGGCTTTGGACTAAAGTGTTCTGGGTGTTTGATTCCGGTCAGGGCACCTGCCCGGGTTGTGGGCTCCATCCCCTTTATCTGTGCACAAGGCAGCTGGCTCACTAGCAAGTCTGCTGCCCGCCCATCACCAAACACGTGACCCCCAGGCTCCTCCCCTTCTGCTGACCACCGGCCTGTGGTCTGTGCCTATGGATGCGTTTTTGTTTGTTTGTTCTTGTTCTGTTTTATATCCCACATCGGAGTGAAATCGTGCATTTTTTTTTGTCCTCCCCCTGCGTGATCGCACGGAGCATAGTAAGTTCCCTCAAGATCCTTCCACGTTGACAAAAATGGCAATATTTCGTCATTTTTCACGGCTGAGCAGTAGCCCATTGTATATATATGTCCCCCTTCTTTTCTTTTCTTTTTTTTTTAATCCTCCTCTGAGGATATTTTTTTTAATGTAATTGCATGTTCCTTTTTTTTTTTAAGATAGCTTTATTGATTTCAGAGAGGAAGGGGGAGGGAGAGAGAGATGGAGATATCAATGATGAGAGAGAATCATTGACTGGCTGCCTCCTGCGCGCCCCCCACTGGGATCAAGCCCGCAACCTGGGCCTGTGCCCTTGACCGGGAATCGAACCTGGGACCTTTCAGTCCTCAGGCCGACGCTCTATCCATTGAGCCAAACCGGCCAGGGCCTGAGGATATTTTTCCACTGATTTTTAGAGAGAGTGGAAGGGAGAGGGAGAGACAGAGAAACATCGATGTGAGAGAGACACATCGATTGGTTGCCTCCTGCATGAGCCCCGACCAGGGCCTGGACCGGGGCGGAGCCTGCAACCGAGGTCCGTGCCCTTGACCGGAATCGAACCCGGGACCCTTGGGTCCGCAGGCCGACGTTCTATTCACTGAGCCACACCGAGTGGGCACTTAGGCTGTTTCTATGTCTTGTCCATCGTAAGTAACGCTGCAGTGAACACAGGGATGCATATACTAACATCTTTTCAAGTTTGTGTTTTGGATTCTTTGGGTAAATACACAGACAGGGAATAGCTCTGCCATATGGTGGGTTCTTTTCTTAATTTTCTGAGGAAACTCTAAACTGTATAAGCCTTCCTCTGCGCTCCATCCGTCAGCACAAAAGAGCAAAATTCAAATAATCAGCCTTAAAAGTCTGAAATGCAAAACAATGGTCAGAAAACACCAGTGTCCACAAAGCACAGCCATTTGGGGCCAATGTAGAGGCTCACCTCCCTTCTCGCGGAAACGGCTCCGGGAGGTGGGAGTTGGGTGCTGGTTCCTATCCCCTGTGACGACCCGAGTCACCGGGAAATCAAAAGCGGTTCCTTCCCATCTATATACACAAAAGGCTAATATGCAGATTGTCCCTGGAAGGTTTGGCTTTTCCACCAGTGGCTATGACGCACACTGACCACCAGGGGGCAGACGCTCCAACCGGCAGGTTAGCTTGCTGCTGGGGTCCGGCTGTTCGGGACTGGGTTAAACTGGCCAGACACGCCTTGGAGCCCTCCTGCAGTCCCTCCCTGGCTCCAATGGGCCCCGATCGTGCACCGGTGGGGTCCCTCAGCCTGGCCTGAGTTCTCTCACAATCCCGGACCCCTCGGGGGATGTCGGAGAGCCAGTTTCTGCCGATCCCCATAGACCAGGCCAGGAGACCCCACCGGTGCACAAATCTGTGCACTGCGCCTCTAGTACTAGTAAGTATATAAGTTCTTTGGTTTATCTCTTCTAAAATAGTAAATATATAAGTTCTTTGGTTTATCTCTTTTCATCCCCCCACCCCCACATCAAGGTATGTCAGTCTGTCCCATGCCCTCCTGCTTCCGGTCTTATTTTGTTGGTCAATTCCTTTGGTTCCTTGGATTTCACATATCAGTGACCTCATGTGATTCTTGTCTTTCTCAGTTTGGTTTATTTCACTTAGCATCATCTTTCCCAGGTCCAGCCCTAGCTGCTAGGTTTGGCTCAGTGGTTGAGTGTCAGCCTGTAGACTGAAAGGTCCCGGGTTCGATTCCCGGTCAGGGCACATGCCCGGGTTGCGGGCTCAGTCCCCAGTGTGGGGCGTGCAGGAGGCAGCCGATCCAGGATTCTCTCTCATCATGGATGTTTCTCTCTCTCCCTCTCCCTTCCTCTCTGAAATTA